ACTGCCAGTGCCATCAACAGTGATTCAATAAATAGAGAGAGTATTTGTGGTGAAACGTTTTTTTATGTGTACTTTCAAACTAAGCTATTGATATGCTTGCAAATCTCATCCTCATTCCCAAATTTAGGCTGCCTAGAGGAAACTAAAGTAGGTCCCTGCAGAGCAAGTTTTCCAAGATGGACCTACAATCGCAAGAAAAGAAGGTGTGTACTGTTTATCTGGGGCGGCTGCGGCGCTAACTGCAACAACTTCAAGAATCGGCACTCATGCAAAAAGCATTGCCATCGACGTCACGCACAAGTACGACCACGGCAATGAATTTCACAAACTGTATCCAGTACGAGTTTAACGATAAAAAATCCGCAATTTCATTATTGCATCGACAATGAAAGCAATGGTGTATACTGTAAGAACCACAGGTGGTCGAAATTTCCGGAGCCCTTCCCTACGGTGTCTCCCATAATCATATGGTGGTTTTGGGATGTTAAACCCCCCATATCAATCAATCAATGTTCTATACTGTGAAGGAGCTATAACACAGTTTGAACGAATCATTAGGTTAAATAAAGGTTGGAATATTTATTTGATGTGTGTGTACTCTTTTATCATTACATGCTGACAGAGGTTGCCATCAATTATACGATGTAACCAGGTGTGACCCCTAGCCCTTGGCTGCATCTACTGTTGGCAGCGGAGGTCAAGGTTATGCACGCGGGGTACGAACGCTTGTGCGAGGACAGAAATAACCTAGTCTAACCACTACCTGAAACAAAATTACGTTACGATCATAGCAGACATCATGATGAATCGCGGACGCGATTCCTTCTTTGTCCCACTCGCCAACATTTTGCATTACGTAAGCGAAATCACGTGTCCTCCTGTCAGTCCCTGTTTTGAACCACCTGCCATACGCAGGCCTCATCATGTGTATTTTTTTTGTTTGCCACCCATGATTTAAGACCTACTTACATTTGTTGAGGTGACAATTTACCATAATGACCCCAACAATGTGGGCAATGCAAGCCCTACGGCGTAAAGAAAACTTAAGAACACGTCTCGATGTCGTAGTTGGACAATCATTCCTGACGATATTCATCGTATCAAAATTATTCCACATTATATATTTGCCAAGAGGTTGTTCCCATTCTTTCTTCCTCCAGCTTGGGGCAGCCAGCATGTTCACCCATCTTCGTTTTCTTCCAAGGCATGCGTAACAATATTATTCCTACGCGGATATCTCGTTTTGGCTGTCCTGGCACGGCACCAACAGACCTTCGACGTCAAATTGTGTCCATGCTGTTTACGTTCCTTATTCGCACTCTCGGAGCCAAACACTGCTGTACCACTGCATATCATCCGTGCGCCAACGGCATGATACGATACTGAGGTCTATGAACGAGTAAGTTTCAGTACATAGATATATATGTGGCGTCTAACGAATAATATATAAATATATATATATATATATATATATATATATATATATATTATTCAGCATCATTTCATGGCAAGTCGCTTAACAAAAAAAAGTGCAACATGGTCACCTTCTCTCCCTCCGCATGCTTCGCATAACGTCGATTCCCGAATGTTTTTCTTTTTATTTCTTTCACACTCTGTGTTCTTCAAATAAAACTTGCAGTTGGGAGTCAGCCATCGTCTGCGTCTCTCCTGTTTTCGTCGATCTCACACTGTAGCCAAAATGCATAAAATACGACCTTCTTATAGAGCAGGCAGCTCGTATACGAGACTCAGAACTACAAAACGTATTGAGGGCAGCGTGAGAAATGATACAACAGATTCGCGAAAGCCACTCAGTCTTCAACATTTGTAAGCGGCAGCATGGGTCATAGTTTTTTGTTGGTCGGGCCAGTAACATAGCGACACCATTCATATATTGCACCATACAGGCTGCTTTCTTTTATCGTCATCCTTGGGAGAGCCAATGGACCCGCGAGCTCGCAACATGACCATGGAATCATGTGGGAGTAGGCCTCTGCTAACTGAACTGTCAGCAGAAACTAGTTGCTTGTGACACATATGCAAATTATGTGGACGCTGAATGCCTGGAAAAAATTATACCCGGGGCACTGAGCAGAATATCTACCAGGCACGTCTACCAATGGAGGTAGTCACTGACAATAGTCTGCCATTCGCCTGCTATGAGCTTAGACAATCTTTGAATGCAAGCTCGCAACGTCCAGCCCTAGATGTGCCTGGTCAGAAGGCCTGGCGAAAAACCAAAAGAAAACAAGGTGTGCAGATTGCAACGCGATTACTACAAAAGAAGCGAGTGGTAAACGAAGGTTCTGGTCATCTCTGTCAACTTACAGAGCGTCTTCATTCGGAGATGGAGTGAACGTCTCATTGGCCACCGCTTGAGCACGCTGCTACGCGGCATGAAAAGCTGATGATTCTCAAAAAGTATCGAAACGAGAACAACCATAGCAACGACGTTCACTTTCTTCGAAGCCGGCTGCCTTTGTTGAAAGGGGGCGTAGCATGATTTCGCGAGGATCGCGGATGTAAAATGAAGGCTCTAGTACACCATCAGCTCGCAGTGACCGTATACGGTGTAGTCGGGGAAGACAGAACGATACTCCGCAGGAACAGGCAGCGACTACTATCAACGAAGGAGCCGTGCAAACCTATCTTGACCGATGGCTGTGATGAAACGACAGACATTTTTAAAACCCAGAAATACAATCTGAATTTCAGTCACCGCAGCTAGCTCCACTTGCTCCATTTCTAGATGTTCTGCTGTTTCACAGCGTCCACTACAGCCAATGTCACGCAGTTTCTGCCAACCCATGTGGTAGAGCAACACAGATGTGCAAGACTGACCTTTGATGAAACCTACCACAAGCTCACCTGACATTGACGCAGTTGCGGTCAGTGATGTAGTGAGACGGCGGGCGGGATGATACTTCCGAGTTTGGTACTTGTAACATTTTTATAATAGGTATTCGGGGAGTGTGATTGTGACTTGGCCCATGATAGGCATATAATTCTTATCTTTAGAGACAAAATATGCATGCCATAGTGGTATATAGCCGCTGTCCACACTCTCGACTGGCAACCTTGTTAAACTTCGAGCCTGTTGGTGGAACATTGCAAGAATTATCGCCACGATGTAAGTGTCAATGCAGCTTGGTAATTGAAATGAAGTCAAGAAGAAGCAGCGAGCCAATGTGACTGAGGAAACAGAGCCGCACGCTTCGAGAAGCGTAACCGTTTATATAACCAAGCTTAACGAAAAGAGCAACCATGCCACTCGCTAGGTAGAGATAGGCGTAACCAAGTTAAGCCACTGCCAATATTCGTAGTTGTAGAGCGTAAATTAATGATGAGTGAACCTTCCATTCGCATGCTTGTTAAACCAACAAGTGCCATGGTACTTAGGGTCTGTCAAAATTTCTATACAATGCTTTGTTTCTGCTGCGTTTATAAATTTAGTTAGTTTGTTTTTTTCACTTTTTTATTTATGGAACAACCTAAAGTGCCCGATAGGAATTCTGGTAGAGAAAAGCAACACAAACATAATTTTGGTTACATAACACAACACGTAAAACATAAGAAAAATAAAACACATTGTCATGAACGAAAGTTTTGTGAGATAAAGGACACATTAGGCAAGCAGAATAATCTCAAAGTAGTTCATTAAGTTTATTAGTCAGCGATCTCTCATTTAGAATGTCTTCTTTGCCAATCTCCTGCATTTGTGGCATTCTGCAGCACCTTCCTCAATTGTGGTTATTCATTTTCTCGAGCTCAACAATGTGCCTGACCAAAGCCACCAACATTTCATTATATTGAAAAGTTATACTGCATTGAATGCATACTTTGCCCTAATAAAGACGTCCTGCCAGCTAAATATTTGTACAAGCTGAAAATTACTTAATGTGAACTACTAGAAACACGATTCTTTCGCGTAATATTCGACCCTATCAAGTTCCTCTCCAATAGGGATAGAATGTGGTAGGGTAGCTGTAGGTTGGTATTCCGAATGCATTTTTCTCCGATTTTTTTCCCTGCCATTTCACACTAGCTAGTCAATATGCTATTTTTCATAACTCACCTATACAAAATTCAACAAGTATTTTATCTAATTCGTTAACTCTACAATGTTGCCCGTTTCAGAAGACTGGTACAAGTAACCGCAGCAGTGGTTGCATTGCTTTTTGATTAGTTAAAACTAGCAATGTTTTTTTTTTCGTCATGCACGTAACCAGAAAGGTTTCAAGTGTACTTGCCAGTAGCTCACAATGCAGCCATATATGTTCTCAAGCAGTACGTCGAAGGTTTTCAGTGGCTTTTAGCGGTTCCCTTTATGATTATTCTGACAAATATGGAGAAATATGAAATTGACCTGTGTGAGCAAGCTATTATACAAGCTTGCATCAGCTTGCTGGGAAAATAACTTACACTGCGCTGTGTCAAATAAAATGTACATATTATTTCTTTAATACGCCCCACAGATCTGCATTAAACTAATCATATTTTTCAATAAACGCTGCTTTTTGAGCGAACCACTTCAGGTATGGTATTGTTAGTGTGCCATCATGGTATTATTGTATTGCACTATTTTTAGTGCAAAGTGGAGATGATCTGCGAAGTAATTGAAATATTTGAAAATGGAACGCACAAAAACGAGGAGCAATCACTCTCGCTTTCGAACAGTAAGCTTATGAACGCTCACTGCTGAACTGTGCTTGAGACACAGTCAGAGTATCGCCACAAAATACATTATCCCGACATGCACTGTATCAAGCAAGAAGACGTCTTAAAAAGACAAAATTCAGAACAAATAAGGTAATTTTCCACGTTCATCTGAACCTTCAACTATAGTCGCCAAGCCTGTTCGCACCAAGAAATGCACTAATTAACATTTATTAGACATTGTAGTATCAATAAAATTACCATGTTAGAGATAAAATAAAGTGTAATGTGGTAGTTATTACTCGGTGAATGAGAAATTTGGTTGATACGTCTTTATTGTGAAAACTGATTGTTCTGTTCTGTCACCCAGAGGAGTTCTTAGATTTCAGTTTTTGAAACGTTCTTGATTGATGGCGAAGTTATGGTTGGCAATAGGGTTTGTTAATGCAGTCGCCTCGACAGCACCATCCATGTGGCAATCCTTTTATTGGTTGCCTCATCTGCAGAGAAAAACAACTTTATTGCATCGAAAACAGAAAAAAACCCTATAGCCGTTCTTATGAAAGGAAATTTAATGTGACCGCTTTGAAAATGAACAGAACTTTAGTGAATGTAACACTTTTGTTATCCGAGGCATTTTGTACGGCAGTTTCCAGTACGTCGAAAGGATGAACACTGGTAAAGCAATTTGCTCATTCTCTAAATAAGAAGGTTAGATAAATTTCAAATGCTACACAACGGTTTGAAAACAGCACGCTGAATACACAGAAACTGCTGCTATAGTCTGATTCACAGCGACTTTCATGTGAGAACAAAACAATTAAAAACAAAATTTGATGTAAAAGAACCCAGATATGATTGCAGGATTCAAGTGATTCTCGTTCGTTCACAGTATGGTCGGCTTTGCCCTAGAAGCATGTGCTAGTGCCTTCAGAACATCTCCATCATAGTGATATTTGGCAGTGTAATTGATATGTTAGGACGTAACGTACTTGTCATAATGGTACCCAAGCCAAGTACAAAAATTATTGAAAGGTGAGGAAAACACAAGAAAACATCGTGACAACAAGTGATTATCGAAAGGAGGACAGAGCCGAAATCTTTCTAAAGCGTCTATGGTGTGGTGGCTTCACCACCACACCATAAACGTTTAAACAGAATATGATTGTTTAGTACTTGCATAATGAGTGAGCAAATACAAGCATTAGGGCGAATATCTTGGTGCGAAACGAAGATAATCTTTATAAAATTGCCATTAGGTAGTGAAACGAATACGACAGACTTACGCGGAGCGAATAAAGATAGAAGCGAGTAGTTAGCCACGCATAAGCCCCACTGCCTCAGAATTGCTCATTTAAGATAACAGCTGGGAAAACACGGTGACATAGAAGAGATAAAGTGACTGAAAACGTACGTGTGAACACATGTCTGCCTACATTTTCAAACACGGTCTCATAAAGCCATATTCATGGTCAAGCATTCACCGTTTTTACGGATTATGGTAAATAGAAGGAGGGTTCCAGTAATACCAATACATAAATCCTATTATTGCTGCCAAAAATGCGTGAAAAATAGAAAAATCAACTCTGAGGCACCCTCCGTATTAGCTTTAAATGTGAAATGTGTCCGTATGAAATTTAGATGTGAGACATTCCTTAGCGAAATTCCGCGACCTTATGATCCATCCATCCATCCATCCATCCATCCATCCATCCATCCATCCATCCATCCATCCATCCATCCATCCATCCATCCATCCATCCATCCATCCATCCATCCATCCATCCACCCATCCATCCATCCATCGATCCAAGAATTTCGGCATGATGCGCCTTTCAGCTTACTAGCAGCGAGCCAGTTATGTGCACTATTTACTGTTGGCGGTAGTCGGAGCTCGACGGCTTCAGTGTGTTCCTGTTATCACTAGCATTATAAGACTTAGGGTACAGAGAGCGCGCTTTATACGTCGGTGCTCCGCGCGTTGCGATCGGCGCACACTTATTTTCTCATGTGGGCGGTTTTGTCGTCGTTTGCTTTCACCACTACTTTCCGCTGAAGTTACAAGGAGCACGAAAGTTGCTCCGCTCGCAGCTGCGGCAGCAATTGCGAAAGAAGCGGGCTTCTCACGCAACGTTGTGACAAGTGTGATAGTTGCTTGTTTTGTGCTATGGAGGCGGAAATGTTGTAGGCCCGTGTACTCAGAATTGGGTGCATGTTAAAGAACCCCAGGTGGTCAAAATTTCCGGAGCCCACCACTACGGCGTCTCTCGTTATCATATAGTGGTTTTGGGACGTTAAACCCTACGAATCAATCATCAATTGTTACTTCTGATTCTGTACACACTTGTGCTTCAGTTTCGTATGTCTTTCGTTGTGTTTCAACAGAGTAATTTAAGCCTCAAGCTTTGACAGTTATTGGTCCCTCTTGGTCCTGTGTAATTTAGGTTTATGCGTTTTTTGTGCTTGACGAGCACGCTGCAAGTTTTGAGCTGATTGCACTTCACGTGACATCACAATAGCTCGCTAATTGCATTCCTTCCTTCTTTCTTGGGGCAAAACAATGCTCAATAAACGCTCAAATGCCTTTCTTAAGAGACGTCACACTTTCGTGCTGTGCCGATCACTATGACCGATGAACCAGTAATGTTTTTACTATCAACACCTGCACGACAGAAAAAAAATTGTTAAAAGCACATCTTATCTACAAATGTTGCATTAAGTGACATAATTACACAATTCCTCTTGAAAAAACATACATGCGTAAGAATACTCTTCAATACTTCCACAACAACAACGTACCTTATGTCTTATGTGCGTGTTAGTGACAGAATTCTGCTGCACAACAGCACCCCAAGAGGAAACAAAATATTATCAATTATGGCACGGTGTATCACTTTCGCAATATATCCAATCATTGCTAGGGTTTAACGAGCCAAAACTACGATGTCATCATGAGAAACGCCGTGATCGAGGGCCCTGGAAAATTCGACTACTTGGGAATCTTTAACGTGCACCTAAATATAATAAATTGGCCTCAAGCATATTCAGCTCAATTGAAAACGCGGCCGCCATGGCCGTGATTCCGTCCCACAACCTGCGGGTTAGCAGCCGAGTGCCTAAGCTACTAGAGCACCATGGTGGGTGATGTGCCACATCCGAATGCAATATATTGTTATGAGGTACGTCAAAGCAGCCGACCCCACCCTAGTTTCACCGCCTTGCACTTGTAAAAGCACACCTAAATGTCAATTGCACCGTCATCTTGCCTTACGCTATCCAAATACCATGTCGTTGAGAAGATACAAAGCCGCAACCTTCGTCTATATTACTGCAGCCGTATATCCGAATAGCGTTCGTGTATCAACAGTCCTTACGTGCGTGTCAACTGTAAAGGGGCAATCAGCTTTGTGGTGGACCTCAAGGTCCGCCGGCTGCAAGGCCGTCGTGCAGGCACAGGAGAGACGGCACGTTCGAAAGGAATGCTGTTTAATGAAACAATGAGAAGGGGGCTTCGTGCCCTCTAGCGAGCGCCTGCTCGTGAGGAGCACGCGCGATTATGCTTCAAAAAAGCTTAATTACTTACCTTGCACGAACTTGAAGGCCTACTGCTATAAAGGCCAGCATACCAAGTGCCATTTTGATTGCAGTAGTAGTAACATCTCGGCAGAATACTTTCCTGCATCAAATAGATTAGTGTAATATTACTATTTCTCTTGGGCCCATGCTGGATTTTTGCATTTTTTGTCAGGTTTTCGTAATTTTGTAGTATAGGTTGATATGCACTAGCAATTTCTGTTTCCTGGCACTTAGAATGCAAGGGAATGAGAAGTCATGCTCGCACATGAAGTAAATACCGAAGAGGTGGTCTTTTTTTTAATTTTCGCTAATATATATGTGTCTATAAAATATTGAAAAAAAGGAGCTCCGTAAGATTAAAATAGTTCGGTAATGCTAGAGATATATTATTAAAATTATATAGTCGATGAGTATTATATTCACCTGCTAAATAAATTGCTTTTTCGAAAGGTGCCAGATAAACTTTAAATCACGTGGATGCACTGGCATCGGGGGTTTTGTATTTTCGAAATTAGACGCAAACCTTATTACTACCATCGGGAAATCGCTGCTGAGCTCTGTAAGCGCCACGCATGGAATGGAAAAATTATTGAAAGGCGCGAGTCTGTCACTTTCCAGCACGAACACCTTTAGTTTTTCAATTTTATGGTTAAACAGAGAAAACGTGTGCAAGTATTACTAAAGTGTTGTCAGAACATGTTTATTCCTTCAGCGGCGTTGTGTACAGTTGTACGCATCAGCTTCGGAGGCACGTGACACACCTCGTGTTTCTTTGAATGGCTTGAAAAGCAGCATGCACATTTGTGCAGGCTTCCTTGGTGAGCAGCCAGCGCTTATTCAACTTTATTGTGGTACCTTTTTCCGAAGAGAAGATCCTTGGTTCATGGCTCTACGGTCGCAGGCCAGCAAAGCGACGCGGGCATTGCTAATTTTTCTAAAGACGACCGGACTACGCGACTGCTTATGAGCGTGCAATGGACAAGGTCACATCTACACACACGTTGCCCTTCACTCTCTCTCTTCTCCTTTAATCCCCTCACCCCTTCCCCCAGTGCAGGGTAGCAAACCAGACGTGTATTTGGTTGACCGCCCTGCCTTTCATTTCTTTCCTTTCTCCTCCTCATCCTATTATGGTACATGTTATCGCAAAGGAAAACACCGAAAAAAACACTACCGTGTTCTACGTTCACTCCAAAAGCCGCATTCCAGGAGCAATCTCAAGAGAATTTTTTTTTTCGCTGTCCGAACTATGCACAAGCTAAAAACAAGCTGTGCGTAGTACTCAGGCCTGATACCTCATTATTTTTGCGCTAAGAATATAGTTTCGTGGTAGGAGAATGCTATTGCATTGAAGTAAAGGCTAATCACCACAAATTGCTGAAACTCACATAAACAGCACATTGCGCCATTTTCTTTCTCGGAGTTTAATAGTCAATGTCTTGAAATTATCGCACCTGAATTTCACCCCTTTGTCTACAGTGGATTATAATTCGTGCCCGAAGGGTTTTGTAAAGAAGCCCATAGTTGCGAATGGCAGCTAAGATTACGTCGTGCATGCTGTCAGCAAAAATACATGTTTTGCAGTGGTGAGGTGATTGCGTAATTTTTTGCTAGTGGTTATCACTTTCCTCGGCTGTTCTCGGACTGCATCTTCACGCATTTCATAAGCTATGAAATAAAACATGTCACACAGTGCTTGTCTACGTTTTCATTATGATGTAAAAATTTGTCTTATTGGTAATCTTGTATTACGTATATGAGAGGAGAATCATAGCTTGAACGTGAGCATCATGTAATTAACACCTTATTTGCAGCTCACACTAACAGTTAGAATGCAAGCGTTCGAAGAGCTGTCACGCACTGTGGAAACAAATATTTTTTTTTTCTGGAATGCTTCTTCGTGTTTTGCTGAGAAAGAAATTCATCAACAATTCTAGCTGTAACATTATACGGCCCATGAAACTATAAACCCTAAACTATTGCAACGCGTAAATATATTCTCTGTAATGGAGCATGATCGGTGCTCCTGCGTTTGCGCGAGCAAGGCGAGCACGAAGATGAGAAAAACGAAAGCAGATCAAGAACAGCCGGCCCAGCGTACGGACGTTGTCTCAGTCCAAATTATTACAATGACGCAATCGACAGAATTCTTAAAATACACTGAAAAGAATTTCACAGGCTATCATATTGTAGTAAATAAGGCTGAAGATACAATAGTATAGGCATAGTTACTACCACACATACGATAATAATCCATACTGAACTCACATCTTGTTTGCTACCCTGACATGTGCGGAGAGGTTAAAGAGCACAAAGATAGCAAAAATAAGAGAAATAACACAAAACCACAAGTGCGCTTAAGGGAGGACGATAGGCAGTCGCTGAGACATGTTGATTGCAGGCACTTCATTGGCGTTTCAGTCGCCTTCTGCGCTCTCGAAGCACCTCTCCATTATCTTGTCTACAGTAAATGGTTGGGAGTTCAGCTGCCATCGCTATCTGTTATGGAGAGACTGCAGCCACAAAGGAAGAATTCGATGGTCTTTTCGCTTCCGCACGAATCACCTGTAATGCTGTCCGCCACAACTAATGGTCCACACAACTAATGGTCACATAACAGCGTCACAATGCTGGCTGGGAAACTTACATACACATTTTGGCTGTCTACCAACTTCCAAAGCTATCGCCTACATACATTTGATTCTTCGCTCGAGAGGTGGCTGCCATCGTAAATTTTCCTTCCAGCTTTACAGTACTATATTATGGCCTATGACCTTAAGTACAAAACTAATATAGACGGATGTTTTATGCTATTTTGAGTGTTTTTTCCTAAATTATCACCACTGAAGGTGGTTGAAATATACTTAAACCATTGTTTATTTATATATAAAAGATGAGACAGAAACTTTCATGTCATAAAAAGCATAGGTGCTCGTATTGCAAAAAATTGCCCGCAGCTTCCCTCGGGGGAACACTGAGGAGGATGCGGAGCATATAATTGGTTAACGGGGTGTTAAAGTGCGACTTACTTGGGTCGATGGCTAAATTGGTTAACGTGGTTGTGAAATGGGGTGTTAAATTGCGACTTACTTGGGTCGATGGCTAAATTGGTTAACGTGGTTGTAAGAGGGTTGTTAAATGAGTGAACACGTACACACGTATGCGAAAGGGCGGCGCTGGTCGAAGGGACGTCGATCATTGTGTTTGTGGATTCGTTGGAATTCATTTCACCGCGACCTTGGACGTCGACGCGCCGTACAAACCAACCGACGAGCGGCAACTGAGCGAGCGAGCGCCGACCTTGAGTATATATACAGCTCGACGGCGCATGCACTGTCAGCTGTTGAATGTTCTCGAAGCGCGACGCCACATGCGCGTCCACTGGAGAATCAGGAGAATTGTAGATGTCGAACGCGGTGTGTAGAGGAGGAAGGGTGCACAGATGGTGGAGGAGTGAAGCGCGCGCGGTGTGTAGAGGAGGAAGGGATGCACAGATGGTGGAAGAGTGGGCGACGGCGCGACGGCGCATGCGCGCGCGTCAGCTGTCGAATGTTTGAGAAGCGGTGCGGACGGCGCGGACGGCGCACTACAAGGCGCGAGTATAAGATGCTTCCGCATCTAAAAGTATGTTGATTTCATATTTTATGGGTGAACTTACTCCTGTGTGCTCCTTCTCTGGGCAACGAAGTAGCGCTCCTGGGTGCATTTCTTGATCCTCTCCGGGTGCTGCATACGAAATACATTATATACTTCTGAACGATTTTTGGAAGATTGCTTTAAAAAATAATGTACCATCAGCACACCATTAGTTACGCAGCGTAAGCACTCTTTGTTTGGCCGCAATCTGTACTCAAAATAATGTAGCTATATAGAGGGCTGCATAATAAGTGACTGAATCTCTCTCTCTCTCTCTCTCTCTCTCTATATATATATATATATATATATATATATATATATATAGTGTGTGTAGGTGAAATATTTTAGGCTCCTGATAAGTCGGAGGAGTTGGTAAATACAGCGGGTAATTTGGTCAGAGAGCCCCCTGGCTTTCATCCCTCTGCCCATAAATCAGCCCAGACTGATGACGTCTCAGTCCAGATTTATCGACCAAATCACTGATTACTTTCATCAGTGTAACACAAATGTAGTGATTTATTTCAAAATATGTTTTTATTGTTGTAAATGTCGTTTACCTGCTGCTACAGTTGCACAGGTTTGCCTGTTTGCCTTTTGTCGGGTCGCTTTAGACAATTTTAATATTGTTTTACACAAACAAACAAAGGAAGACATTATATATTGACAACGTTAATTCCGCCATCGAAATGAACCTGTTTTGGAGCATATATAGGTTCGTATTAGGGTTCACTAATCACGTAAACGCAATCAATTGCTTATTTCTGGCGTATAAACGACTGAATAATGGGCGTATAAACGACTGATTATTGAGTTACTTTTTGCTGTTGGAGCGTGCACTTACAATGTTACCAGCCACAAACATCGAGTATCACCAAATTTATGGGAACGAGTTCGTATGTGGGTTCTATGGAATCTCTTCACACAGAGAAGTTTGATGTCTATTTATTAGAGCGCCTGCCCGTCAATTCGAACTCTGCTTAATTCAAACAATTGTAAAGTTCTCTTAGAGTTAGATTGACCTAGCTTTTACTGTATTACGAACGCCACGGCATCAAGTTTCGTTTATTTTTTTCATTTCAGCTTGGAACATTCGCTTCCTTACTTGGCTTGTAGATCAGACGGCACGTTCCCTTGTGGCAGATGCCAGCGGGACCAGCTTGAAGTTCTTTGGAATCTGGGTGCTGTAAGGTGGAAATAATCTTGCTTAGTCTGACGACCAAACTCGGCTATCAAAGTGACAACGTCCTTGCAGCGCAAAATGCTGATGAATTTTGTGTGGTTAGTCTCGTTTAATGTTATATTATTAAATGCGGAGCCTCTCTTAGCAAACTTCGGCGATATTGAGCGTATCTATCTATCTATCTATCTATCTATCTATCTATCTATCTATCTATCTATCTATCTATCTATCTATCTATCTATCTATCTATCTATCTATCTATCTATCTATCTATCTATCTATCTATCTATCTATCTATCTATCTATCTATCTATCTATCTATCTATCTATCTATCTATCTATCTATCTGTCTGTCTGTCTGTCTGTCTGTCTGTCTATCTATCTATCTATCTATCTATCTATCTATCTATCTATCTATCTATCTATCTATCTATCTATCTATCTATCTATCTATCTATCTATCTATCTATCTATCTATCTATCTATCTATCTATCTATCTATCTATCTATCTATCTATCTATCTATCTATCTATCTATCTATCTATCTATCTATCTATCTATCTAGCCGCTTTCGTTTGGATGCTCTCGTGGTAACCCCTTTAACTTGGCCTAAATCAAAACTAGCATTGGAGTGTCAGATGGTTTGACGAATATGACTACCTGATCAAGGCATGAATATTGTCGCAATCCGGTCGCGTACATCGTCAAGCACTTGCTCATTTTCTTTGCATTCTCAATTTTCCTTTTCTTCAGTTTGCTTTTGAATTTTATTTTTCGTCAATTTTCCTAATTCTTGAATCGATTCCGCTAAGCGGTCCACCTGCAGGGATACTGAATGCACATTTTTGACAATGACCTTCCCCAATAAAAACACGCTCTTCAGACCCCATCCGGTATCGCTTACCTTCGATATCTTGGCGCTTAAAAGTACGCCGCTTTCTTCTCCCCCTGATTGTAACGGCCTTCTTGTTGTGCGACCCATTCATAGGTTTTTTTTTTGGCCCCGCCGCGGTGGTCTAGAGGCTAAAGTACTCGGCTGCTGACCCACAGGTCACGGGTTCAAATCCCGGCTGCGGCGGCTGCATTTCCGATGGAGGCGGAAATGTTGTAGGCCTGTGTGCTCAGATTTGTGTGCACGTTAAAGAACCCCAGGTTGTCAAAATTTCCGGAGCCCTCCACTACGGCGTCTCTCATAATCATATGGTGGTTTTGGGACGTTAAACCCCACATATCTATCAATCAATCATTCATACGTGTTTGGGAACAGACGTCGCCGCTATTGTCGGCAACTCTTTGCGGCAGCCAGACTTGGTGACCGTCAACGGGCTACGAAGCTTTAAGCTCTTTCATTTCTTCGCGTCTGACGCGGCCACCACTTTTGCAGCACACCACTCAAACTTTGAATTTTTCTTTCTTCTTTTTTTTCTTTTTCCACTCTCTGAGAACAAATTTTGAGTCACTACCATCTGACTTGAAGGGAACCAAGGACAACACTCCTCTGCCTTATAGTTTTTTTTTTGCTTTTCAGACGGCGACTATCCACAGAGACACGCGTTACCACCAGGAGTTGACGTCACCACTAACCCCTTTAAAACTAACACGCAAAGAATGACGCGGCGCCTTTGAAAAAGATAGGTCCTCCCATTGAAGCGTCGGCCAGCCAGTCTGATGCACTTACCCTGTTCATCTTATGATTATACCACTCTAATACATTGGTTTTGCAAGTAATTATTGCTGAATCACATATTCGATGCTACTCAGGATGATTTGTATGGTGACATACAAATCGTTTTTTTCCTGAGAGACTGCATTTTTTTTAAAATGGACTGAACTTGAAGTCCTTAAACTCTTACAACATTTCACACACAGCTTTGTGTTTAGGTAAAGAAATCTATTCGTCCAAAAATAATAGATTGCTGATATGAGCTCCACAGACCATAAAATCATTCCATGATAGGTCAAGGGAAGGAGTCTGAGTTGAAGTGTGCAAATATGTATGCCATTTTTTATGATCCTTTAGGAATCATGTTTAAAAGGGCATGTAATTCTTAGTCACCGTTCACCTAGAAATGATATGCAAGCTCGGTTTATGTGTTCACTACGTTTTATCGATACGTAAGATGAGTAGCGTCCTTACCAAACATGGTGTTCCATCGTCGTAGGGCATAATGACACTTCGAGAGCCCTTTGTGCACGTGTAATTACATGAGGTAGCGAATCCTGGCTGTGAATACAAATTTGTGAAGTGCCTTGTTATATCTCATAAATATCATTAACGACATTTTAATAAATATGCTGCACTAGGTGTGTCGACATTCACGTGAATAGTGGATTACTGAAAAACGTGGGTGTGCTACTGTAAAAATAAAGCAACCATCGCAAAGACATTGCATTTTAAATAAAAAGCATGACCCTCTAGTTTAGCCGTATATACAAAGCAATGGATGCAATAACAATAGACCGGATCATACAAAGTAAGGCTGGCAGGTCAGACAAAAGACTGTATGGGCTGGAGCGAGTAAAATGGCCGTTGCGCTATATGTCCGTTTGAGGCAAACATATGTATTTTTGATTACAGCAGACCTGCCTTGGGTCTAAATGGGAGCATTGAAGGCTTCTTACGAGTCTAGAATATTCAATTTAAAAAGCAGTCTCCGTTCATTGTTCTGGATTGAAGAAAATGGTCCTTTCAACGGGAAAAGAAAAACTGAAATACAAAGTCAGTGCTCTTTTCGAACATCCAGAATGATTGAGCGCAAAAAATCTGAACTCGTTGGGCTTGCCTCAAAGCCAAAATATGCGGCATAAAGAGCTGCTCGCTGCCGAATACTCAATCATCGGGGCAGCACTTAGATGGCCATGTTATATTTCGTTTAAACATCGAGGAACCTCATAATGCCTGAACATGAAGCACAGAAAGCTGTCGCAATATATTGGAGCCAAAGTGGCTAGTTTCGAGTGGTGTAGGAGGATTCTATGAATTCCTGCGAAAACGTGACATAAAGTAGCTCGTCACCCCTCACTCTTGTGATGTTTATTGAGGTGCCAACATGTGTAGCGTGCGAAAATTATCGCACGGTACGAATTCTCTCGCCCGAAATACAGAAATATGTCCCGCCGCGGTGGTCTAGCGGCTAAGGTACTCGGCTACTGACCTGCAGGTCGCGGGATTGTATTGCAGCTGCAGCGGTTGCGTTTTCGAAGGACGTGAAAATGCTGTAGGCCCATGTGCTCAGATTTGGGTGCACGTTAAAGAACCTCAGGTGGTCTACATTTCCCGAGCCCTCCACTACGGCATCTCTGATATTTCAATGGTGGTTTCGGGACGTGAAACTCTTCATATAAATAAAAATACGGAAAGACAACCACAGTTTCACAAAATCATAAAAACACATGAGCCCCACAGTTCATGAGGTGTTGTCTTCTCTAGTACCTGTTCCGTACTGCACCTTGTTCTTTCATTCAAAACAAAGAGTTTTGCGAGTCCAACTACTGTATAGCCAAAGATATAATATTTCATTCCATTGTGCTACCCACAGTGCAAATCATGTAAAGTAATGAGCACGGTCAGTTTTTACAAGTAGGCTATATCTCTGCATCACACTAAGTTCACATGCCCCGACAAAAACAGGCAGACCAATTTAACAGCGAAGCTAAAGTGCATATTGTTACTTGTCAGACGATAGCATAAAACCATCATCCTCATAAAGGGGTATGTGCCACTGTACTGCCTACTAGTAAATGGCCATTATCACAAAGAGGTGTACGCCAGAGCTAATGGGTTAATGCGAGTCTCACCACACACAACTGGTGCACTAATAATGAAGCCACGTGTGTGGCTGTGTGCATTATATGTTTGTCATTGTATATATCATAATCCTCATCCAGCACCTGGAGTAACATGTCAGGCAAGAAGCCGATCACATGTAGCTCTCAATTAAAATATTTCTCTCTCTCTCTATTTATGAAGGAGGAAACAGTGAGCCCAACAAATGGCTCCCATGTAACGATGGCCTGCCAAAGACCCCCCCAAAAAAAAACGCACGGGAGAAAACAAAGCAACGGAAAAGAGAACAGCACCTGCTCGAAATTCAAACCAAAGGAAAGCCAACGATGGCGTACCTGTGCATCTATCAGAGGGGCGAAAATTCAATTTCAGCGCGATTTTGGTCTGTGTAGTTTGAACAACAGTGGAGTGTCTGCGATCATCTGCGGTGCAACGTGGGAAGAACCTAGCATCACCTTGCGAAAGACTAGCAACAACCCGGAAGTAGCCTACGATCTCAATTTACTAGCTAAGGCTTAGAGACGACCCGGAAGTAACCTATAATCTCAATCTGTTGTAGCTAGGGCTTAGAGACAATCTGGAAGCAACCTATAATCTCAATCTACTAGCTAAGGCTTAGAGACAACCAGACTGATTTTCGGAATTGTTCAGTTTACATTTTTAAAACCTTACGTGACGTAATTTAGGCTACGCTAATTTGTTAGTATTGTTTTCAATAGCATGAGTTGTGGTTTTAATTAACGTAGGCTGTTATTGTGTCCTATGACTAATGTATCGGCTGCCATTGCAGTCTATAGGATTACAAAAACTACACCACAATATCACAGTAAATGAATGCCGATGTCTTGTTTCGTTTTCTCACATAGTTCATGGTTCACACACATTCGTCGCCTGCGGTAATCAAAGCCTATGTCGAGGTAGGAATAATACTGGTTCAGGTATTTATCGTATTTGCGCCAATTTTTTTTCATAATACTATTCTACTATTCTGCGGAAAACAACGATATGAAATCCCGACAGTGGAGGCTGCCTTTCGATGGACGTAAAAAAGCTTGAGGCCCACTTATGTTAAAAAATTGCCATATATTCGACAATTTCGCAGGCTTTCACTTCACTGTGTTATATATTCATATTTGAATTTGGAATGTGAAACACCAACGACTAAATATTTCTTCCCCTGCTTTGACATCCAAAATATCATGTCAAATTATGTGATCAACTGTTGGTCTCTTGTCAAATATTTGTTCTTGTAACAAAATACTAGCATCATTCCTGTATTTTTTCTTCAATGCACCAGTTTCAGGCTCATTTAGGATCATATTGTTAGCAGTGGTATATTTAGGATATCGTACGAGTGTTCGCTTTATTCGCATAAATATTGCTCTTGTATTCCTCTTGTTCCAATAGCACTTCGACAGCGCAAATTTTCTGTATGAATGAATTAGGCATACATGAATGATAAACTGACGCCTACAACTTTCTTAACGTTATATCTTTTTGCATCAAAAGCATTTACGTTAACGAAGGCATATGAGTTTTTTTAATCAAGAGATCTTCAGAAACTTTCCTATTTCTCAGATATGAACATATGTAGTTGAACACTACAACTATAAAATTCACCAAAATATTTTTCGCTATTTCAGGACAATATGAAAGTATACTTACACTTCTATAAATGCCATCGCATGGTAATGGAGCTGCGAGACAACATATATACGAAAAACAATTAGCAGAATTTTGAAAACCGTAAAACTTGTTAAAAATGGTGGTGCAGTGTGGCCTTTCGGGTGTTTTTTTAAAATAAATATGATGTCTGCAGTTTGTGGATGACAACACGATGTTTTTGTTCACTGAAGCACACCTCTTTGTCTGATTGTTTGAAATTTAAGCTATTTACCAGTCAAATTGTCACTATAGGATGCCTTTTCAAAAATTCTCAAGTAATTCGATTGTTAGCGCTCTCACAAACGACGAGCACGAGAGGCTTCTTTCTCATGCTTCAGATTATGTTTAAACCAGAAGGACATGTGCAAGAACAGCTAGTGAAGTGACCGTGGATGAAGGTATTGTAAGTTCAAACATTTTGTTGTAAAGCGAAAAAAATGTCAGCACTTTGTACGCACCGCGTAAACACGGCTCAAGAAAGGTAAGTGTTAAAAAGAAACGACTAAGTGTTAAACCCTCAAAGAACTAATGATTTGATTCGTTTCCTTCAGTGCACTTTCCTAGAATGAACTCATCTTGTTAGATAGTGCAGCGATTGGATCTAAAAACACAACGGAACTTTGAAAGAGCTCTAAAAATGGACAACTATCCAAAAAAGTCTATCTAGTGGTAAACATGTCATGTCTTTTCAGAGGCGTTGATCAAACAAACAGCAAACGCTAGATAATGTGCTGCCATCTGTGAGGCATTGTGAGACTATTTATGGCCTCCGAGATGGCGAGCACACAGCGTGTATCTTGAAGGCCATGCGACTATATATTTAGTTCAGAAACCTGTATGCACCCTCCGCACGTATGCGCGCGTGTGTGTCTGTGTGTGTCCGTGCAATCAGTGAGACATTGTGAAAAACGTGCCAAGACTACAGCAGAGCGTCGTTCTAGCAGAAGGAAGTGGCGACACAGCACAGTTACTGATTTAGTACAGATACGTCGCGCTTGCGCGTGTGCGTGTGCGTGCATGCGTGCGCGTGTTTGTGTGCGTGTGTGTGTGTGTGTCCAACAAAACATATTATTAAGTATGCAGTTAGAGGTTAAAGGGCGCTCTAGGGGCCAGATTTCGCTATCGCGTCCAACTCCTAAGGGCGAAGTTTAAGGGTCCCGCAATTTCTTGTTTATCGATTTAAAACCATGATACTTGGGGTATGGGCTGAGTGCTTTCATTTAAAACTTTTTGTTTGCCAATGATGCATGCATGCATGATTGTCGGGCTGTCAAATGAACTCTAGAGCCTCCGGCCAAAGTTTAGGCTCCTTGCTGAACACCCAGCTATCTTGGACTGGTTGCTTTGTGCATATTTTCTAAAGATTGTAGATTAAAAAGCAAATAATACACTTGTCTGAGGTCCATTTTCAGTACTTATTTGTCAGGTGGTGTGTTTCTTTTCTAGAAAGTACACATATACGTAATTCTATAGAACCTTGTGTGTCTTAGGCTACACTGTAAATGTGACTCTATGAAAAAAGAAGGCCTCTAGGAGATCATCGTCTTTTGACGGTAATTGCGGCAAAGCACGCGAACACGCGGTCAATTTTCTTCGAGCTTGCTAATTCATAATAGCACGGATTTGGGCAAAGCTAGCTTTCTGCGAGTGTTTGCTGTGAGCATGATAACACGACGTAAAATGTATAGCCGAACAGCAGCCCGGGTCACTGAAGTGCTCCGCACCTAAAACAGTACCTTCCTTTCAGTTCACAGTTATAGTGCGTGGAAAATTTCTTGGCTTATTTGCTAAAATGTACAAAGTTGGACGGTGTAATGCAGTAACAAGAATCAATATTTTAGGCACCAGGGCATTTAGACAAGCTAACTGAAATGTTTTTCTCATCTTCGCTATAAGGGACAGGAGGGTGAACTGAAAAAATTGATTCGTTCAAAAGAGTGGAGATGAGACACTCACCGGGTTTTGCTATGCAAGTTCCATGCAGGCAATATCCAACATTCCAAGGGAACAACTTGCACAAGAAAAAAAATTATATTGATATTCTTTAACATGCGTGATTATGCACTTGATTCAGACTGCCTACTTATTTTCTGTTCTAGTTCTTTGCCCTCTTCGGATATTTTTGCAATATTATGTTGTTCTAGAAATAGCTTCGAAAGTAAGAACATTTGAATTTACGACAAACTCCCTTTCTTTTATTAGAACGTGAAGAACGCCCCTGATCATTTTGGTCAACAGAAACACCTCCGAGAAAGCAGGTCTTTTTTAGTGAAACTGCATGCTAACAACTTGTGGCCCCGACTTTCAATTTTGCCGTAAGCAACACAGCATGAACACACAAACTGGCTCCATTTTCATGCATAATTTCCTACACGCGCATTTCTCCAGTTGTGGTAAATGGATATTGCTGAGTGAGAAAAGCCGCAGAAATGCGTCTGAAGAGGACCTAATTTTCTTTAGTGCCTTTTTACTGCGTAGTAAATCAAGCTATAAACTTTCAGTGATATACTCATACGTTGAGCATTGAGCACACTAATTATACGACAGCTGGGAAAATGCCAATGCATACCTTATTACACTATACACATAAAGTGGCAATAAAGTAAAGTAAAGGAACTTATCAATCACACATGGAAAAATCGTAACGTAGGAATAAAACTTTTATGAAGCATTATAGTTAGAAAAATATGACATTTTTATTTTCTAGCAATGTTTATTTCTCTAACTTATAGTCTGCTCTATCGCATGATTTCAGTAGTCTTAGACTATAATTACATACCAATGAATACACACATTCAGTTTGAAATTGTGTAACATTCTATACTTAAGGAGTAAGGGAGGTATAATCATATCAATTTACGGGAATGCTGGCAAGATTTACGAATAATGCGTTGTTATGGGCAGCACTGAAGTGATATCCGCGTAACAGTAGTTTCATAATTTTTGTGTACGTTAATAGTGTAGTACTTTTCAAAACTGTTTTTCAGTATCGACCAGATATGGTACATTAGTGACGACACGTTGAATTCTTCTTAATCGAAAATAATTTATTGAAATAAAGTGTGCCCCATTCTAGACACCAATAATAAGGGTCCCACATAAAAATTGCGTAATAATCTGTTTTTATGGAATATTTTTTTACAAATCTCTGCAAAAATTGCACCAAATCTCTGCACCCGCTCCACAATTAGAGGTATAGCACTACGTGTATTTCGACACGGCAATATTTCTCGCGGCTATATAAAAGTTGATGTTCATAAGTCACTGCAAATGATGTTTTTTTGTAACACAACTTTTTCAAATGTTACCGTTTGCTCTATAAAAAATCATTTGTCTGCACAATAATACAATAGTGAAATTTTAGGAAACACAACAATTACGTAATGATTAGCGTATGATTTAGCACCTCTAAATAACCATTTTGGTTAATTGTAACAGGCGTTGACAGTTATGAATCTGTCCAGCGCTGCTCAGATAATTTGGTTGCCATGTGGCTTCCTCGGTGCAATGTTGCACACTGACAAATTTAGCATAAAGTCAAACTGATGCGTTCTCTGCAGCCATCTTGAACGTCATGAGACGTATTGATATTCTAGTTATTCGTGATTTATGCATAGAGAAAGGATGCATTTTCTGAAATAAGAAATATTTAAAATGACCTACCATATTGGGAATTGCTGCAATGTGATCAAATGTCTATTTTTACTAACATTGCAATTTCCGAGAAAAAATTGCTCCCGCCTTTCCGAAGAGAAGCGTGAGGAAGTGTGAAAGCATTTCTTGCGCCAGGACTGCATGGCGTGGTAACGTTTATGGAATAAAATTATGAAGGGACGAGGATTTGTACCTTAACTATTCATTTACACCATTCATCAGCCAGCGAACGCTCAACAGCGAGGGGCGCACTTCACTCCGTCTATAAAGACACGAGCGAGAGGACGGGAGAGCGGGGCGCAGTGAGGAGAGAAAGCGAACGGCAACAGAAGGAGCGGCGAAGCACTGCACCTGTCATTGTACCTGACGGCCATAATATCAGCGTCTTATCAACACAAACACTACACAAACGCTGGCAGCACAGATGCTACAAACGCGTTACAAACGCACTCCGTTGAGGTGGTGGCAAGTCGCGTTCAAGTCAAGCAGGTGGGCGCTCCGGTTGCCAGAGGAGAGGATAAGCACGCGCGCCTGCATCTGTTGCTATGGGACAGGGCGGTGGACGGATCCCGACGGATGCCTGACATAGTCCGACTAAGAAATGCATTCCCATTTAATATTTATTTAGTACTTCACGTTTTCTTGTACGCTCACACCTATATGTTATTCGCATACGTTTTGCTTTACAAGCCAACCTAATTCGAAAATTTATACTTATGTGTAAACCTGCAAACCTTTTACCCGATACTTCGCATTTGGTGCGAGTTACAGCATTCATTCTGACAAAAACAAGGAGAAGGACAAGGCCACATTGCTGTAACTTTGCAACCTGTGCAGGGAATTCCCACACCCGGTTGTTTTATTTCAGAATACGTTAAAACCATGGCCAATACTCAAAATCACAGCGTGGTAAAGTGAACGTAATCTACTCACGCGACATGGTGTGCCGTCCGGGTGGGTACCATACCATATGTTCCATCCGTGCCAGTAGAAGTAGTGACAAAAAGGCTTCACCCCGACCTAATCAGTCAATTCAACCAATATGAAAGATCAGTTTACAATAAATGCAGCAAATAACAACAGTTGACTCTTTCAGGCTGGAGCTGCGAAGAAATGTCTAATAATGCGTGAAATTTACGGCTCATCAAGAGACACTTGGTTTTTTACCGCATGGAAAATAGTATCACTATGCGTTTATATCACTGTTTTATAGTACCTTCATGCATTTTTAATATATCAAACATATAAATATTGCGCAGACATTAATGTTCTTACTTTCCAATATAGTATCATACGTAAGGGTGACAAAGAAATATACGAGGTAAATAAGTAATAAAATCATAAAGCTTCATTTTCAGCTATTTATTTTAGGGAAAAAAATCACGTGGCTAGCAGTAAATGGCGCGTCTTCGAAGTAGGGCTTTCCGAATTAGGATCACGTAGGACATAGCATCGCCAAACGAATTTACATGAATACACATTTACTACGCAAGTGCTACAAATCACCGGAGCATGAATGCACCATGATCGTTCTTAGTCCATGGTCGATGCAAAGAGCAAAAGCAGGTCCCACCTATTTATGTGCAACAATTCGATTTCGACACTTCACAGCAGTCTTTGCTACTATCAAAGGCATTGTTTCTTTGTTTAGGAGTGGATATGTTGTCGCAATGAAAAGCTCAGTATTTTCTAGCATTGATGTTGTATCCATGAGAATCTCAACTTCGTCGCAATTTTGTGCGATCACAGCACCATTATAAAACTGCTAATGAACTTCCATAGCTGTTAAGGTTCGGTGAACATTTTGAGCTGTTGTAAGGGGGTCTTGTAAATGTTCTGCGTTTAAAACCATGCGAGGTACCTTAGACAATGTGATGTGCCACCGCACATGTATTAGCATTTAGTGACAACTTGAATTGTTTCAGTACGTCTGTACTTTGAGAGCAGTGTAGAAAGGTCATGTTCATTCCTGAATCTGAAATGAGTGAGCCACAAGGCTCTCACAATCGTGTTTTCTGCCTCTTCAATGCACATTGTGCTGTCGAGTCTTAGAAAATCTGCCATAGATTTGATGTGCGATAACCAGTGTTATACCAAGTTAACATAACTGGATTTTGGAATCTGATATCTTAAGAATTCCCCTCACACGCTGTTATCACTATGCACTTTGGTTCAATAAAGCCTTTAGGAAGATTAAGTGAACTACTCTGATTTACAGCAGCGTTTTTCTTATTATTACACTTTTTTCTGTTTAACCGTTTTCTTTTCTTTTATATGTATTATAGCGGTAGATCAGTTAGTTTACTTTGCAGCTTGTTTTTTATGCAGTTGCTGACGCCACTAAAAGAATACATAAAGCAAATGCAGCACAATTGAGATTCTCAACATATTTAAAGCATTTGGCTTTTATTTTGGCAGTTGCGGCGTGGTATCTCTCACCTAGATATCATGTGGCATGGGCAATCATCCTGAATAATATAACTTGACTGCTCATAGTAAGCTAAGCAAAAGAATTAAATGTTTGTCTTACTGTTAGTTCATAATTATTGCTTAGCCGGAAAAGTATTTCACACTTATGAAAATAGGGCTTCAGGCTAGTTACTTCCGGATATAGAGAGGCGGTGACAAACAATAAATGGTGAGTGAGATCGGTTGCACATTTAATGACAGCATCACTTTCCTTGCTAGTGGCTAGTGAATTAATTGCGGTTCGTATATATCCTCTTCGCTGTAGGTACCTAGTTATTAAATCTAGTCTTAATGGAGAAGACAGTGTCATTGCTCGTGAAACAACAGTGCATTGATTCTCTTTTCGCCGCACTTATCCTTTCTTACGAATGGTAGGGACACAAGCATATCTGTATATGTGGGGCAGTTCATGTCATACACAAACACTCGCACACACGCACGAATGGGTGTGTGTAAGTGCGTCTGTGTGTGCGTGACTGCGTGTTGTGTGTGCTTGTGTAAATTGACATACAGGTATACCATAGTTTAAGCTTGTTGTAAGTCTACCGCAGAATGAGAAGCAACTGTCGTCACCAAGTAACCATGTAAATAAAACTCACGTTAGCAGCCGCGTGAACATATTCAGGTGGCTGATACACACCCTTAGTCCATGCCTGTCCGGTGCTTTCTGCAATAGAACATTAAAAATATTTATCAAACCGTTCTCACACACGCCCAGAGCGTACACAGCGTAGGCTTTATGAACACGGCAATTGTGATGGCGGAAAGTTTACGAAAAAGCACATGTAAGCAAATTTCAAGTACCCTAACAGCTTCGGGACTCGCTGCTTAGGAGCCCATACGGTAATGTTCCTGCTCAAATATGTCTTATATGATGCTTCGTTAGCATCGAAGGTGGTTATCAACCGACAGTGCATGCAAAGTTGTGCTCGCTTCTCCTTTGCTCAGAAAACCACAGGGTTTTCAGTATTTCTTGACACTTAACTTTGTTGATTGGCCCATGTGTGCCTTGATAGACAGTCAGGTTCAGCACTTTGATCTGCTAGAGAAGTTTGCGTATCGGCAGATGCAAATATTTTTGGTTTAAGTAAAAGTGGTTAGCTCAGAAGCGGTGGTGAGTTCAGAGCTGTCAAGGCGTTGATACTAGCGGCACGTAACATGCCATGCTTGGAGGGTATAACGCAGCGCACACTTCTGAATATCAGTCAGTACAAGATTATAGCGAACATCCACTTGGAAGCGCTGCAGATAACGTAGCTAAACTTTTTCACCTCGGCACTGATATCGATCAACTCAACGATGTAGATGTGTCATGTACCTAAGAAACATGAATCAGTTTTCTGCAGTTTCTCAAATTATTCATCACAAAAACGCACTTACCGATACCACCTTTAGCTGCTTTGTATACCGCAAGGAAGCTTTTCAGAAGAAAACTGCCTCTTTATACCGGTGCCCCTTATGATTTATTAGTTTCTCTGCGTATTTACTAAAAAAATGTGCGCTGACGAATACTTGTGTACCATTGGATTCAATAAATGTGTTTATCCAGAGGAAGTCGATTGGACATTGTTCTGCGTCTTCAATCGTGTTTAACTTGCAGCAGATACTGAAATAAACTGATCAGACTTTTTCCGGTTGCCTTGGTATGTCGGGTATAAACTAGGCACTTGTCAAAATGGTCGCAACTTGAAATTTATATTTCAGTTAAGAAGCTCATGACTCGCATTCAAATAGTTGTCTAAACGTAAAGAAACATTTGCTGATTAGAGTTGAAGAGGTTAAAAATAGTCAACATTATTTATCCAGTAAATCTACCAGTCCCCTATGAAAGTGCGCCGAAAACACGGGAACATTGGTGGTCATTTAATTAAATTATTTTGACTAGCCAGAAGCTTCAGCCACCTTCTGTTGTAAGACCTTGACCTTCTATCAGGTTCTGTGAGAGATTCGACGTAGCTGTATAATGAAGCGACTGTATGGATAGTCAGAAAAATGAAGATGGAGCACTGTCTTTTCAAAATGCTTGCTCTGTTATTATTATCATCGTGACAGCGTCAAAAATCTCATTTTGTAGAAATCCAGGGGGAAGCATCGACGTCGGGATCGGTAATAGAGAGCGAAACATTTCGTGGACAAAGGTCGAAACCAGCAGGAACTGGAGGATATTTCCGTAAGGTTACAATTTCGTCCACGCACGCGATTATTGTTCTACCTTACCTCAATTGTTTCTCCATGGCGTTATACTGGTGTTTCCGCACTGAAGCTTGATAAAGAAATTTAGGAAAATCGATCCTTGACTTCGATTTCCTTCTTTATTGTTTCTCTTCAACACTCCTGAACTACCAGCTGCCACTGATAATTTAGGACAATCAGGCAATTTGCTATTTTGCACTCATATTTAAACAAGGTTCTCTAAAAATGCTCATTATTGTCTTCATTATTTTTATTATTTCTTTCATTTTTTTCTTCAATTTTATTGGGCTGCCGCTTTTGTCACGTGTATATTATGTAGCAAATTTGACCTGTAAACGTCAAAATTGATCTTGTTGCATGTGGCTTGAACACAAAAATACATACCGCTTACTGTCGCTAAAACCAATGCAGTAAATCCAAGTAGCTTCATAACTGATACGTGGACTTGTTTGTCGGAGATGACGAATAGCTTGCGTGAAAGTAATGAGATTTCGTAGGCATTACTTATATACTGCACAGTAACAGTAGATTCGTGTCTGTACTGAATTACATAAATTACCTCCAATGTTTTGCTGAGAACAATGGTACAAAAAGACAATGAACGACCAACCGAGATGTGTATATCCTGCTATTGTCAAAGCTAACTAGCATGGAAACAGTAGCGCTGCGTACGCTCATCTGCCCTTGCCTTTGTCTATGCAGCCACATTTCTCAGATAGGAGTTTTGTCGGAAAATGCGGAATACGATTTCCATAAACTTCTTCATGCACCAGTGAACTATAGAAGAGGAGGAACGATACAGAACGAAAGGCAGACAGGTCAACGAGTGGAGTATAACCGGTTGACTACCCTACACACGAAAATGGGAAGCGGAACCTCGAAAGACGGAGAAGAAAGAGTGAAAAAAAGAGAGAACAATTGCACATAATACAGCACACACACAAACATGCCATCGGTCACATGTACATCACGCTGGCGCAGCATGCGACAATAATGTCACACCCGCTTTTTCAAGTTCACTTTCCTAAGAAAACTCTGAAGTTTTTTGGTCGCCTTCAGCTGCGGTATCTTCTGTGGACGACATGCAGGAACAAAAGCAACACGCGTGTGTCTATTATCACAGTGCACTAGAATAGATGCAATTGACTCTCTTTGAACAACTTGTGCCGCTGAGTTGAAAGATGTGACATAGCACCTCGTCGCAATGGCAGGCTTCACAAAGGGCGTTGCTGGCCATCCCAATGCGAAATAATTAGGATTTCGTGACTGACAAATTTTAAAAGTTATTCAGTAGATTGAAGCCCTCAAGTGCCACAATTTCACCATGAAAGTGTCTTATGCTGGAGTGCAACACGGCT